GCACCAAAACCTGCTCCAACAGTCCGCATTTTCTTCTTCCACGTCAGCAGGCATACACCAAGATCTCCGTACTGCTAGACACACAATGCGCACCACTGCACAGAACTCACCGTGTCTTTTCAAACACATGACTCTGCCCTAATAAACATATAGCACTTCTCTATGTATTGACCTATATACATCTAGGCTCTCTGAATTGACATATATACTTTTTATCACTTTTCACATTAGCAGGCATACATACTTTGGTAAGTTGGTAGAAGAACACAAGCAAGTTCCACCACATCGAATGACTTTTTTGCATGAGCAGTTATACACACAGTTCCTGCCCATTGAACAATACCAGGTTTTCTGCAATGACGGACGCAATATTTTCATTTGCATCAGCAGCCATATTGATGAATGTAATTCTTCCACATTGTCCAGTATACATCATACCTCTTAGCTTTGGCAGATTTATGTCATGCAATGTTACACACTAACCTCGAATCTCTTTAGCAGTTTATATAAACGAGTTCCGGCAAAATGGCACATTGCTTCACCCACCGAAATTACAACCATTAAACGCCCCATATTTACGATTTCTATAATTATAATTACTGCATTCGATCAAAATGACAAACAGTAATTAGTGAATTAGTATATGCCCCGTCACAGATACGTAGCTACTAAAATAAGAAAATGCATCTCCCAGATCGGATGTGTGGAACAGCCTTACACTCTTATGCTTTTCCGAAATTGATTAGTCTTAGCTTGGTTGACACGAATAATGACAATGCAGTGTGGAAGGTTACAATGTTGATAAAAATGGGAACAAATTGGGTGGCACAGATTATCAGTGACCATGATTGCCATGACAGCAATATCAATACGACTGCTAGAATTATGAATTTTAAATAGTTTAAATGGTCCATTATGCTTTTTTAGTTCGAGCTATAACTATTTATTATGACAGCTAGTAATGAAGTATTTCTGTGAAGTGCAATTCTTTACTTCATCCTTAAATGTCCCTCTCTGCTGACCACCGATAAATCATAACATTTTTTTGAATATGGATATCCCCTATAAAATTATAAAATGAAAACTACCAGTCTGAGAGTGTTAAATTAAGGCAATAATAAACAATGCATAATTAATTCATTTAAAGTTACACTCAACAAGACTCTACTTTCCTCGTGCTTGACTTTGTTTAAAAATATACGGAAAGCATCGCTTTATGTAAGTCCCTACTGTATATTATTATGATATGATGTTCAGACCACAAACAATCAAACAAAGAATAACGCAATTGTAGAAAAGCGTACACATTCATCAAATTAAATGGCACACACTCTCTTTGACATTCAACGATCTGTTTTTCAATACCAAGTCTCTTTCAGTAACTGACAAAACTAGTTTTAATGACACACACTCATTGAAGTCCTTTGAAATAACGCAATATATTTTTCTGTGCGGTAGCTTGAACTCAGATAGACTTATTACCTTTTCACGGAGCTAGTTAAATTTATCTTTGGACGACATGAGGTACATAACATACACTGAAAATAATATGACAGAACCCCACACCCTCCCCGTTGCTTGGAAGTTATTTTCACGAATTGTGATGCGGTGTATCCCGTGGCCGTACTTTCACGAGCGAAGCAGAATACACCGCATATTGAGTGAAAATAAGTTCCGTACGCAACGAAAGTAAAGGGAGGGTTTTGTTATTATTACATATTTTCCATATTTGAATATTTCATATTAATGAAAGAACGTGCAACAAACTGGGATTGAATAGATAGTTTTACGCCCTAGCAACGCGTGTCAGTGTAGAACGCGTGTCACTTTCTGTGAAAATAAAATAATAATCAGACGTCTAATCTGAACCACTGTCCGAATAAATAACTTGAACTGGAAGATAATGATACACAATTAATGTGGACGTGAAAAAGTTCTTCCACGGAATTGTGTATTGGCAAAACATGCCATGCAACTGCGGTACTCCACTGACGGAATGACTGCGGTCGTCGATGACCTGCACGCTACATCGTCGTGTGGGATGTTGCTTGCTGTTCGTGGATAGAATGAGTCTTGGTTACCGGTTAAAATGTTACTAATTTGGCGATAATAATCTTTATTTGGAACTGAGTAACGCCGCAACATCGCCAGCAAAAACCTCCCGGTATCTCGATGTTGACGGTTTCGGCTCCATAGTAATCGCTGATTTTACTGCGGGCGGATTTTTTTGAGAGCCCTTCAAAGTTTATAAAACTCAGTTTTCAGGTGATCAACATACATTAAGTTCTCCCAATCCCTTCCATGTCATATAAACACAACTGGTACTAAATCGCTCAACTATATTTGATTTTAAACTTCCATAAATATACACATTAAATAACAACATGACATGCTCAATAGTCACAGAGCTTTTACTTAAAACAACTGAAATACACAGGAAAGAGGAAACACAATATGTATGTGTAAAATAATCACTACAAAAAACATCTTGCACAATATGAAAAGTCATACTTACATGCATTTTCTTTATCTGCGGTTTATTCATAGCAATCCAACCTCCACCAGAGTTCAGGGTGCTGTCGGGAGAGATGTCTTCAGCAGCACGGTCATACATTTCACACATATTAAATATATTACTGAAAAACACGGCTATACATGTATCATCTATACTGGCGCACGCGTCCATACATAATGATACAGACTGTGAGTAAATAACCTTCGTCGGCTGGACACTGGCCGTAAATGTCGCATTGGGGAAAGTAGAGTAATGATAGACAGCGACCAGTAAGACTTGAGAACACATGTATTAACCGCATGCTGAGTATATCATAACTGCTAGAACCGTGCAACGTTTCTGCTTCATGATTACGTACCAATTAAACTTATCTATTGTCATTTGGCAGTTGTATGATAAACTCGGAATTTAAATTCTGTGAAGTAGGAAACTAATTACTAACTATCAAATCAACTTATTATTAATTTATTATTAATTTATTATAAAATAATAAAATATTAACGAGGTTCAGAAACTGCTCAAACTTACCACGGACAATAAGGAACAACGACAATCTACGCTAAAAGGGTGTCCAGTTAGCCGCTGTAATTGTCTGTACTTCTATGTGCAATGATACTGCCTGCAAGTGGTTTTACATTTAGCCACTGCCTTGACTGCTATGAATCAACAGATCTACAGAAATCATTGTGAATATTGTAAGTAAGTTTTCAAATAAATTAGTAAATATAGTGTTGTTTTATGAATTAAATTGTTGTTAATAATGTTTGACTATTTGCCTTATTGTGGTTGTGTATAACAAAACCCTCTGTTGGCAATACTTGTTACCATGAACAAATATAGATTTCAACGTCTATGGCCCGTGTCTTGGTTGGTCGTATGATTTTATTGTAAAAATTAGATGTAGAGAATATATTCCCTGGGATGAATGTATTTTACGGTATTGGATATGCAAATGCATTGCTGGAGATAATGTTGGTTTCTGCATATACTGAATAATTAGTGAGTGCT